TGAAAAAAAGGGGCGAAAAATTTTGTCCGAGTTAAGCCAAATCCGACTTATCGAGTGTCCGACTTATCGAGAGTGACTATGTATATACAGCTTTATTCTGTAAATTCTAGTAAAATTAATTAAATTTACTGTTTGCCATCAGTAAGTAAACCCATTTATTAGGAGCGCTTATAAAAAAAACGCATCAGATTTATTGGCCATTTACATACACTCTCTGACTAACATATAACAATTGTTATTAATTGTTCTAAAATTCTGCGTCATTGTCGCTGACGGAAGTGTTTATTGTTTAGTACCGGATAAGCCATTTTACTATAGTTAGAGTAACGTCAAAAGTAGATGGCGTATTATATCAGACTAGGAAAGAATAATTCGATTATTGGCACAAATATTTGTCATGATATTTAAGTTTAGTATAACGTGTGAGTAATAATTTATATCTTGCGATAAATCCTTTGATATGGATATAATAAATGACTACATTTGGCTGACTTTTGAGCATATCACTCAGTCAATTTCCTGACTATAACAATATATAATAAATTTTTTATTTATACTTAACATAACATCTTTCTCCCTTACCCTGTTCATATTCTGACTAATAATATATCTTATCATCATATCATAATCAAATTGAGAATAAAACAATTGACAAACAAGTTTGTACTTATATTGATAAACGTTTTATAAAGAACAAATTAACAGATTTGCAAATAACTTGAGATCTTTATGACCACAGCTATGATTTGCCAACTTTAAACACAGATATCGCCTTATAAAAACTTTTGTTTCTTTTTGGTTGGATAAATTTCAGTCAACTCTTGGATCTTTCTTTTTAACTTGGACTTATCATTGTAAGTAAAAAAATAAACCTTATTTTGTGCCTTAATGTACCCTTGTTCAGCAGCTTTTTCATATAATTCAATAGCTTTCTGTTCATCCTGTTTTACTCCAATTCCCTCCTCATAACACCATCCAAGATTATATTGTCCATATGCATGCTTTTGGTCAGCTGCTTTTTGAAACAATTCAATAGCCTTTTGAATATCTCTTTCTACCCCAATTCCGTTTTTGTAACATAAACCAAGACTAGTATATGCAGAAACATTTCCTTGCTTGACTGCTTCTTGATACAGTTCCACTGCTTTTTGAACATTTTTTATCCACACCAAGTCCTTTCTCATAACACCAACCAAGGTTCTCCTGTGCATCAGAATTTCCTTGCATAGCTGCCTTTTGATACAATTCAAAAGCTTTTTGATAATCTGTTTCTATACTAATGCTTTTTCTATATAAATAGCCAAGCCTAAACTGTGCCTCAGCATCATTTTGTTCAGATGCTTTTAGATACCATTCCACTGCCTTTTGTTCATCTTTTCTCACACCAATTCCAAGTCTATAACACTGACCAAGATTATATGTTGCATCTGAGTCTCCCTGTTTAGCAGCTTTTTGATACCACTCAACTGCCTTTTGTTCATCTTTTTCTACTCCAGTTCCATTATCATAACACCAACCAAGATTATGTTGTGCATCAGCATATCCTTGTTCAGCAGCTTTTTGATACCATGCCACTGCCATTTGTTCATCTTTTTCTACTCCAGTTCCAAGCCTATAACAGTTACCAAGACCAGTTTGTGCACTAGCAAGTCCTTGTTCAGCAGCTTTTTGATACCATGCCACTGCCTTTTGTTCATCTTTTTCTACTCCAGTTCCATGTCTATAACACACACCAAGATTATATTGTGCATCAGCATATCCTTGTTCAGCAGCTTTTTGATACCATGCCACTGCCTTTTGTTCATCTTTTTCTACTCCAGTTCCAAGCCTATAACAGTTACCAAGATTATATTGTGCACTAGCATGTCCTTGTTCAGCAGCTTTTTGATACTATGCCACTGCCTTTTGTTCATCTTTTCCTACTCCAGTTCCATTATCATAACACCAACCAAGATTATGTTGTGCACTAGCATGTCCTTGTTCAGCAGCTTTTTGATACCATGCCACTGCCATTTGTTCATCTTTTTCTACTCCAGTTCCATTATAATAACACCAACCAAGACTATTTTGTGCATTAGCATTCCCTTGTTCAGCTGCAGCTTTATATGCTTTGAAATGAACTTCATGTTCATGTAGAGTCTTTTGTAGTACGCCAAGGATGGTAGAAGCCATATACTCTTCCCTAGAAACTTCAGTAAATTAAGTGGTAGCACGTTTTTATGAATAAGCATTCAGCTTGCGTAATACTTTTTGTGAAACTGCTTGTACAACGTTCATTGATTATTTGCATGCCGATCCAGTGTCGTACATTGGCTTGATAAAGGCCGTCGTCACCGAATATAACTATGTCCCAATCACTTGACCCTTAATATTCGTTAAACTTTAAGATACGAGAATAATGTTTCAACAACTAGTTCAATGTAGTAGTAGGCACGTTGTCAATTACTGCCGTGCAATCTCGTCGTTACATCTTTGCGTAATAAAAATAATAACAATAGTATAGTGTAATATTGGTTTGAGAATGCCTTATTTCTATAAACATTTAATTATTATAGTTTTGATTTTAATGCAAAGGTAAATAAAGGCTTTTATAATAGAAACCAATCACAATGGGAAATAAGAGTGACGTAAAAGAACGGGTCTCTTTTAGTGCGTAGTAGGCAGACTGTTATATATTAATATATTAATAGATTGGTATAAAGGGACTGGAAAATTATTTCCGAGCTTTTTTTGTTTTATTTTTTCTAAAAATTTTTTTATTTAACTTTAATCCTGGCAGAGGTGTCCATAGTGGGAAATAAAAATACAACACCGTATCAACTATTAATATTGGTTTACTCCTGCTCTTACCACTAACGCTTCTAAGTTTTTTATGATATCGCTACCGCGGGTTCGGTACGAACTAGTGTTGATGGTATTGTCATTTTGAATGTCATCAAAGTGTCTCTTTCTAATGGTATTGCACTAAGAGTAATCATACTATAACTAGTGAACAGTCCACAAAACCAAACATAAACAGTGAAACGTTTAGGTAAGCGTGAACCTTACTTACCTAATATATGAAACTTTATTACCAGAAAACTTCATTAGGAAATAAGCATAGTTTTTTTCAGCTGAGTTGATTAGGTTTGTAAAAGTTAAATATCGTAATAGTTCAACCTAGTTAACAAACTTTTCCAAGCTGCTATTTTTTGTTCGGTTGTAATCTTTTTGGCTTTCTATAGCGAATAAGAATGAATAAGAATGAAAAGACTTTGAAGGAAAAGGTCTTTGTCCGACCAGCATGAAATAATCGAGTCCCAACTAAGCGCGCAAGAAAAAACCGAATGTCCTGCCCTGCTTGTTTATGGCAATCCATACTTGTTTTACCTGAACAAAAGTGTGAGTAAAGTTTTTCTATAAGAAAAGTGTATTACGTCAAATAAGGACTGTCGTATAATGTGTGATTCTCAATTTCGAGAGATCCACTTGTGATGAATAGTAATTTCAATTTCCTTTATCTCATGCAACATCATAGTAACTTGAACTATAATTTGAGGATATTAAGACCTCTTGCTATTTACTGGAAAATGCAATTATACTAAATCAATAACTCATTCTATACAAGATCAAGAGAAATTCACATATGCCTGTATTGTCTAGTTGTCTGCACCACATGAACGAGGTGTTCCAGTCCACCACGGCACATCAGAAGAAGCAAAAAGAAACGTGTTGAATCGAGATACCAGTCACCTAATCACGGCGCTTGCCACTTAACATAACGTCTTGGATAAATACACTCTTAATATGTCTCCCTCGTCCGCAATTCTGTTGATGCAAAACTCTTGGGATACCGCACAACCCATGATGGCTCAGGAAGATCGGGATAGAAATAGCATGCTATAACGATGATGACATATGTCGCAAGAAGTAACACACCAGTAAACCAATTAGATTCACCATGCTATCAACAAAAAATATACTTGTCGTAAATAGACAGACAAATAGATAACTAATACTCCGTAATCGATTCACCCACCTGAATTAAGAAATTCAGAATTAACACCGAAACAAACAATATCACTGTTTGAAACACTTCGAAAAATAAAGTCATCGGCTGACCGATAATCCAGCCAAGCACAACCAAGAATGGAGTAATAAATAAGGCGGTTTGCAGTGAGCGTGCTGCAGTAGTATTAATAAGTGACTGCATCTCATTCTTCATAGCAACAGTAGCAGCCGTCACGCATTCGGAAGCTTTACTAACTGCAGGCAATAGTATCAGACCAACGAATGTCTTGGTCAAACCTACAGAAGTCATGATGTCTCCTAATGAGGATACAAGAAATTCACCACATAGGCCGACTATGGCACTAACCATAAGCAAGACGGTGAAAGAAATAATAGAAGTGAATTCAGGTCCTTGATCTTCTTCGGTAAGGTAATACCAAGTATGAGTTAAAAGCTATGGTGAACGATTTCAATTATGTAGAGGAAGTTAATCGTGTATCCTATTATAGCTGCTCAACAGTTGTCTAAAGATTAACTGTTTTTTACCTGGAACAGCAAACACAGTCCATAGACAATCAACAGGATTATTGCCGTATAATAACTCAGGTTCAATATTTCGTGAGTTGCTGTCGGTGGAATGGCAACAATGAACGCTACGGCAATAATCAATGAACTGTCATCAAGCTAACAACTGTCTGGGCTGCAGTCTCATTAAATTTTTGC